CAAAACCCCAAAACCCCAAAACCCCTAGTGAATAAATTTGTCAAGGATAAATTTTATCTTAAAATAATAATCATCGATAAGTTTATCTTTAGATCTCAATAAGTAATTAAATATCCAGGGTATGATTTCTGATTGTCGTAAATAATATAATGGCCTCCATTTCCATTATTAAATGAATCGTATAATACACCTTGCTTACCTGGTATAGCAGCAGGCATTCTTGCTGCTTAACCTCCACCTTAACTTGATGATAATCCTGTTATGACTGTACAGAAAAACATCTATATTAAATTCATGTAAACACTGATTGATAATAAAGAGAAAAAAATTAGAATTTGATTATTACCTATTTCCTTCCATTTGCACTATGAGCATATCCATTAGAATAACAAGAATTATCTGCAAAATATAGTCCTATTCCATTTGCCCCAACTGCACTATATCTCATATCTAATCCACTCTCAAATGAGTAGATATTAAATGGATCAGTTTACCTAGTACCATGAAAAAGATGCTTTACTAAGCTAAGACCTTACAACTATGGATGCTTTTATAACATTCTTTCAAATTCACTTCTTACAGTTTAATAAATTTACTTGTTGTAGATTTTCTTTATCTCTATTATCTAAGCTAAGTTAACCTAGCTAATTTCTTAATTCATTATGTCAATTGTTGCTTGAATTTCAATCAATCTAGGATCTCTTTTTGCTAAAGTTTTCAAGAATTTGAATGCAATATATTAAAATTCGAAACTTTCTCTATCAAGTATTTCTGTGCAAGTAAATTCATTGACTTGATTATATTTAGGATCAGCATAATTTGATGGAAACTTAAAGGACTCAATCATGTTCCACTGAAATTTCTATTTTTTTTCTTTTAACTTATAGCTGTATATAGTCTAATTTTTCAGATCAATTGCACTGGGAAATTAGTTTGCTTCACAGGAAAAGATTAATTTTCTGTCTCCTATGTTAAACCATTCACAGTGATCAATGTTTTAAAGTTTACATTTATTGTATATGTCGTTCAACTTTTAAATTTCTTCGTTTACCTCTACAACTTTAGTATTAGTTTTATCTTTGTTTAAATAAAATACCCATTGCCTTTAAATTAGAACTACTCTAGTTAGCTCTGGTTAACGAGAGAATGTTTACAAGAAAAAAACTTCAATTTCATCCTCTTCATTTTCCATTTAGTCTAATATCTTTACTTTTAGCTCTTCATCTTCTAAAAAGAAATAGAAATAAGACTCTACTTTGTTTTTTGCTTCTTCTTGAAGCTTAACTTCTGCTTATAATGTAAAATCATACTACTTTTTATCATCAAGATGCTTTATGTAGTAATGGTGAATAGTAGCGTGCTTCTCGCCTCCAAAGCAAAGATAGTTTTTTCCTTGATCTAATACATAAAATAAGTCAGGCTTCTCATATACATCAAATTGATCTTCCAAAGGACCTTAAACTGTTTCTAATCCTTCATATTTATTCTTGATTTTAGCTGTGTCAATACAGTAAACATATTCAAGCTTTTCTTTCTTCATTTTTGCAATATCAATAATATCTTCTTTTCTAACCTATCTTACTTAGTTTTAATAAGCCATTTCCTTTACTTCTTCCTGAACATTTAATTCTTGTTACCAATTATTTTAATCTTTATAATCGAATGCATCACCAAAGGTATTATACCAATCATACCACTTTATCAATAAATCGAACCCATCCATATTTTTTCGTAAATATTCAATGGAATTTTCAGCATTTTTACCTTACTTGTCTAGTCTCATAACTTCTTCTCCTAATCCTTACATATAGCTCTGCTAAAATACATCTTTGCCTCTAATAACAACTGATTAGTTTTTTAAAATACTCCAAACTTCTTATAATATGAACAATTCTAACTCCTCTACCATTATATAGCAATAATATTGATCAATTTTTATTTTAAATGCAAACATTTTATCTCATAGATATTAATGATAGACGGGGTTTTGGGGTTTTGGGG